TTAGTGGCAAAATGGTAGGACATAAAAGGAAGAAGTCATGGCTTCGAACCTTAGACGAGGCAACTTGTGAAATGAAAATATAAAATGGTGACATGATGACATGGGGTGAGATGGGCGCCACGTGGCGTGAGGTGGCGGCTCCATGTGGAGGGGTGACTTGGCGCCACAAGTTAGGTAAAACTAACATTACTTTTTAGCGACGATAAAAAAGTCACCATTGATTGATAGTTTCTACGGTGATAAATATCGTCGCTGATTCTCAACTTTTAGTGGCGACTATTTTTTTATGGAAATAATTTTTTTTTGCGACAACATTTATCACCTTTGATTCTCAACTTTTTGTGGCAACTTTTATTGTCGTTGAAAATAGAATCAGTGATAAAAGCTCTCGCAGTGACAATGTGGTGACTTTTTATTGCTGTTGAAAGTCAATTTTTTTGTAGTGAAAATGAAAGTTTGTCTGTATCCAAATTAATTAAGTGACATATGTAAAGGCAAATATATATGTATGTATGTATGTATGTATATATGTATATGTATATGTTTATATAGTTAATCCATGCATGATCCTCTCCAACAAAATGAGAAATTTGAAATGCCTGATTAACACTCTATTTATAATTGTGTTTGTGCCACAAATTAAAGTTTCCTAACCTTATCATTATCATTACTATATATCAATATTTTGAAACTCGAACCGGGCGTCGAACCAAAAAGAGTAACAGGTCACAATTTTTATGGTTTAATCGGTTAGACTGATGGTCGAATCGGTGAAATAAAAATTTAATAAAAATAATATTTATACACACAAATATATGAACAAAACATTAATTTGTTGATAGTGTTAAGGATCTTGATGCCAAAGGCTAGACGCTTGGACTGTTGGAGCTAGAGGTAGAGGTATATCGATACAAGTTCATGATCTCAAAGCAAAATGCTGGAGCTGGAGACACGCCATCATGTTGTGACTCACAAGTTTCAGATCTCGATGCCAAAGGCTGGATCACCAGAGCCGGAGGAAAGGTCAGAGATTGAGCCTAGGCCATGAAGGAGAGATCAAAAATGAGATAAGAGAAGATAGAAGAAAATTAGATATTAAAAAAGGAAAAATGTGAATATGAGTGACTTATTCTAATTTTTTTTGGCTTTGAATTGGGTTGACCCGCTCTAGTTTTCAGATCAAATCTGGTTTTCTCAAAATTGGCTTGATCAACTCAAGTCAATCCGGTTCAACTGGTTGGATCAGGCCATTTTGATTAGCGGGTGGTGGTTGGACTGGTTTTCAAAACATTGCTGTATATAACTCAATTTGAATGCATTAGTTAATTAATTAAAGGCTTATTTCTTTCGATCATATTTATAAATCACTTCTAACATATTTCATTAATACTAAGAAAAATATTAAATCTCATTAACTCAATCTTAAAATTTAATAAATTTCCTTTTCTATCTCTAATAAAAACAAGAATAATTATTTTTAATAATTTTTTCAGCATTTAATAAGGATAAAAAAGTAAATATGAATATAAAAAATAATAAAATACCCTATAAATAGGATTAAAATTAGTCTTCACTTTTTGTTCTATAAATAAAACTTGAGGAGTGTATGCTATGCTTGTGATTGCATGTATTACTTGATATTTTGTTTGGCAAGTTCATGCATGAATTCATTAGTGTCTTAATTTGAGAGAATTATATATTGATGGCAATTTGAGAGGATTATATAACATTGATGTGATCTTCTACAATAGATGGTATCATTATTTATGAGTCATAAGTTATCCTTCAGATACATTCAACCTAATCTGATTTATTCCCTTTGATTTTATTTATAAAATAGAGGAAATTTTTTTAAATATTATTTGTAAGTCATGTAATTAAATTTTCATTACAAATTTATTTTTTTACTCTCCATTAAATGTATGCGAGATAAACTACTCTCTCTATCACATTTATAAGATAATTTTTTGATAAAATTATACATATTAATAAAGTTTATTAAATATACTTTATAATATTTATCTTCTTAAAGCATATAAATATAAATTTTTAATTTTTTATTTAATAAAACTTTATTTGTGAAACATTAAATAGACATAAAAAATATAATGAAGAGGGAAGGGTAATATTGAAATAAATAAGCTTGATTCATTTGGCTAAGGTAGTTGAATCAGCTTATTCTAAAGTTTTGAGTTCGAATCCCAATATGTGATGTCATGTTAAATAAATATATTAAAGGAATTCTCAAGTAACACGTGAGGCCACCGTTGGTAATAATGGTCCCAAGCAGCCAAGGTTTGAATTAGTTTAGGTGAAAGGTAAAAATATCCTAGGTTTGTCATGATACCAAGCAATGGAATAAAAATATTGAAATTATTCTAATTAAAACTTTATTTTCATTAAAGTAACTTATATTTTCAATCACCAAATTACTTTTAAAAGTATCTTATAAATTAAGATAAAAAAGTATGCATATATATATATATATATATATAATAGATGTAAAGTTAAGAACTTATTTAAATTTTAGATAAAATAATAATTTTTTGAGATTTTCCTTGATTTTCTAATAAAATTTATTTAGAAAAATTTATAAATGGGATAGAAGGTAAGTAATTGTTAAGTTTGCTGATCTGGTACAATACGATCATTTATTTCTTAAAGCTCTCAATGTTAATATCTCATATTATTAAATGGTGGATCCGATTATCAAATTTTCTATTCAGTGATACGAAAGCACTACAAAAAAGGTCTAATGATTTCATTTGTGGCCAAAAGTGCTTTATTAATATTATTATCTTCGTGGAAAGTTGCCAGATCCGTCGAGCTGGATTCCATAGAAACCTAAAACTGAAAATATTAAAATTTATAAAGTTGGTAACCATTTTTTTTTTTGGGGTATCTCCACAAATACAAAACTTAATGTCTCTATCAATTATGGTGCAACTAAAAAGGGGAAAATCAACATTCACCAAGTACTCTATAATATGGATATTTAAAAACAAATTATAATTTTTAAAGAGAAAATTAGCTCAATAGTCTCAAAAAATACAACTCTCATAAATTATAAATGAGGTTTTTTAATATTTTAGAATATGACCCATTTATAAAATTAATTAGATGTGTTTTTTTATCCTTAGAATAAATTTATTATTAAAATAGAATATATCTGATTTAACTAATCTTTAACTGACTAGATCTTTTCATTTTATCATCAAAAATCATATTGTGCTTGCTTCATTTTTTATTTATCATCTCTGGGTATTTTCTTCATAAGATTTTTTGATTTGATTTTTCTGGATCATCATATTCATCTTTCATATAGTGCTTTTTTTTTCACCAAAATTTTTGATTTGATTTGCTTGGATCATCATATTCATTGCAGAGCTTTTCTTCCCTCTTCCTTTCCGTTTTTCCTAAATATTACGAAGAGGATATTAGACATTGAAGAGGAAACTCCATTGTTGATCGGCAATACTACACTGTATATCAATGATAAATTAATTAGTAAGTTTTCGTTGATATGGTTTATATATCAGTGATATATAATAGTATATCACTGATATACTATCATAAATCAACATAACCATATAATCAGACATAAACTTGTTTATAATTGATATACAGTTGTATATTAATGAAGTAATATCGCATATCTGTAACAGGAAAAACACATTATCATTTGCCCAAAATAGATCAAACATAATTCACAAAAAAAATTGAACTCTTAGCTTATCATAGAGAATCAAATACCCAAATTAATAAAATAAAAAATTATGAATCTGTAGCTTCATTTTCCCGCCAGTGTGGTCTGTTTCGTCGAGTATTGTTGATGTATTTCACCTTGCATTTGTCTCTCATCATCATAACTATGGCTCATTCACACTACTTTACTATTTCACATTTATCTCTCTCACGTCAAGTTCCGTCTTTTCTCTCGCATTTGTCTCTCTCATTTAAGAGATTTCTTGTGTTTTTGAATCTCTTAGTATCTATAAAAAGGTTGATATTAAAAAGGGTAATTTTATAAATGAATTATAATCTAAATATTAAAAAGGCCATTTTTAAAATTTTAAAAAAGATAAACTTTTTTTTTTACTTGGTCTTATAATATAGGTTATTTGTGCAAAAGCCACTTTTTTAAAAATACCAATACAAATATTCAATTTTATTTTGAAGTTTTATTAAAATATACTTTATCAACAATAGTACATATTTTTTATGGATGGCGAAGTTTATTTTTTTAAAAAAATTAAATTGACTTGTATTTTTTAAAAAAAAAAGAGAAATTTTTTTTTGTAATTTTAAAAAGTTAAAATATGTCTATATGATTTAATAAAAATATTATAGTGATATACATATATAATACGGCATTTTATCTACTCCAATTAAAAGAACAAACTCTAATTAAAGAAGGGTATTGAAGTAATTTCCCTTTCAATTAAGCAACGGCCCCGCAAAAATCGCTCGAACCAGGGAAAAGCCTTTCGCGAACTGGAAGGCCGACTCAATAGTTCCATCATTTTTTCCTTAATACCCAAAATGTCCCTATTGTAGGGGAAAAAGAAAGGAGCATCCTACTGGATTTTGTAATTTGGGAAGGAAAGAAACTAGGAAGGAAGGAGCACCATAAATTAAAAAGATTGATATTTATTTAAATTCACAATAAGAAATATAATATTATTATACATTAATTCACAAAAAGAGTATGTATATATTAATTTTATTGTGTCATGGTATGTATTACAGGTGTCTTGGAATTAATATCTCCGTTAAGAAAATTCCAATGACCCACTGAAAAAAATGACCTTTAATTATTTAATTAATTAAGTTGTGAGAAAAACAGGAATCGGTATAATTGTAATTATAATTAGGTGGGTAGGATAAGCAGGGGAAGCCATTAAAACACCTTTTTTTCTCCCCTCAACAACACACCAAAGTTTTAAGGTCTAAAATCACTCGGTCATATATAATATATATATATATATAACCCTATAAATTTCTGTGCCTTCAAATCTCGATACCCAGTGATAAAGGTGCTTTCTTTATTCTACAGTTCTCAATCTCATCCCCTCAATGGCGGCAAAATTAGGACATGTGAAGGCTTGGGAAGAGAAAACGGTGATCTGCTACTTCCTTTTGTTTTCTGTAATAAACATGGCTATCTCAGAGGGAGTCATCACCGCCATTGGCACCAACGCTGGCGGCGGCAGTTCTATGCAGAAGCTTGGAGTTCAGAGACAACTGAACAAGTTGAATAAACCAGCTGTTAAGTCCATTAAGGTGAACAATTCCTCCTTTCTTATATCTAATTCGGAGATTTTCATGTTTCTTGACAGCTTCAATACTATCTGCAAGCCAAAGAAAATTGATTTTCTCTCCCTCTAGTTTAAACTTTTACTTCATTCGATCCAATTAATTAAGCAATATATTAGTTTTTGTTTTTTGTTTTTGGTTCTGGGTTTTATTGAGAACTACAATTTAAGAATGTTCAAATTAAAAATTTGGCGTTATTACGAACAGAGTTCTGATGGAGATATAATCGACTGTGTTCTCATCTCAAACCAACCTGCTTTTGATCATCCAGGGCTCAAAAATCATAAAATTCAGGTAAGAAAATTGACTTTTTTTTTAAATATTTCTTTAGTAATTCAAAATTTTGAAGTCTATTATTGTTGATTTGATTGAAGAGGAGACCAAATTTCCACCCAGAAGGAAGAAGAATTGTTGATGAAAACAAAGTGGGTTCAAATTCAAAGCCAATGAGTCAATTATGGCAGAATAGTGGAAATTGCCCAAAAGGTACGATTCCGATAAGAAGAACAAAAGAAGATGACGTAATGAGAGCAAGTTCCATTGAACAATTTGGAAAGAAGAAGCATCAGAATATCCCTCAGCCCTCATTTGCACAATCTCAATCTGAACTTGTCACTCAAAATGGCCACCAGGTACTATTAATATTGCCATTATATATATATATATATATATTCCTGTCATTTTCTTGCAGATTAAAATAACATAAAAAATAGGAGTATATGACGATGGGGAATATTGGGTATGGTAAAAAAAGTTAATCTATCATAATGTGACAAACTAACATTTTAATTCTTGTTGAGAAAGATGTCGATATTTAGTACCTGACAATGTAATACCTTGTGAAAAAGATATAGGTGTATATGATCTTTTTGCACACACACATATATATATAGAGTAAGGTTTAATTTATTACTTATTTAGCCATTAATTGTATTGTATTTATATTTTTTTTAAAAAAACTGGAATTGGGTTTTAGTTTTTTTTCCTGTTACTTTCCAGTGGTAAAAGTTTTCAACTTATTTCTTTAATTTCCAGTATGAGTCCAAACTCGAATCAAAAGAGAATGCAAAAGAAAAATGAGATGATGACAGGTAGACTTATAATTGTTTTTGAGAAATTTATTCATGACATGACATTTGATAACCTTGAAAGAAAGAAAGTAAAGTATGCTGAAGGCCCCGGAACATTTAAAAATACAATGAAGATGACTTAGATTTTAGTTATTTGCAAAAAAAAAAAAAAAGTGTGATGCTTATAACACCCCACATCTTATTTGTAAAATTTTAAAGATCACTTGTACATCATGATATTCGATAGAATTGTTAATTAATTCCTCTATATTAATAAATTGAATTCGATCAAGTCATTATTTAATGTATTTTTCTCCATTTTTTTTTCATGGTTTTGGAGCGTCTAGCATGCTATAGTATATGTTCAAGGGGACAAATATTATGGAGCCAAAGCAACCATAAATGTTTGGAAACCAGATGTTCAACAACCTAATGAGTTTAGCCTCTCTCAAATTTGGCTTTTAAGTGGCACTTTTGGTAAAGATCTCAACAGCATTGAAGCTGGTTGGCAGGTATATATATATATATATTCTTCAATTTAATTTCTTTAAATTCAATTTTTTAAAGAAATATTTCATTCAATATTATAAATAGATATACTATGGAATAATATAACTTTTAATTCATAAATTTTTCTTCAATTATTGATGTAGCCCTTGAATTTTGACTTAACACAACTCATTCCTTTTGTTTTATTAAATTAAGGAATTATATGATTGAGTTGTATCGAATCAAAAAACTATAAGGAGTGAGTTGTTTTAAATGAAAAAAATTATAAGGGCCGGGTTGTTTCAAGTTGAGAAACTATAAAAATTAAGTTATTTAAGTCAAAATTCAAAAACTAAATTGATAATGAAGAAAAAATTTGGGAACTAAAAGTTATATTTTTTCTACATACCATGTATCTTTATTTTTTTAAATTTCAATGTGTCTCACCTTTTGTATTTTGGAAAATTAGGTTAGCCCAGATCTGTATGGGGATAACAACACCCGATTCTTCATATATTGGACAGTGAGTTTAATTTAAAATTCATATATACCAGCTCAATTATTTGTCATATTTCTTTATGTCAAAATTCTCTCTACATTATGATTAATTATTTAATATTTTTTCACACACACATCTATATAACAGAGTGATTCATATCAAGGAACTGGATGCTATAATTTATTTTGCTCTGGTTTTATTCAAACAAATAACGAAATAGCCCTTGGAGCTACCATCTCTCCACTTTCTGGCTATGGTGGTTCCCAATATGATATCACCATTCTTATCTGGAAGGTACGTGCACGTGCCTTGTTTTTTTTTTTTTTTTCCATTTGACATTATGGCATATATATATATATATATATATATATAAAGGACAAACATTACCTAATTATAAATCCATTGAGCCTGGCGCATTTGGATTATATATGTGGATGTTGTTATTATAGAGAATCCAAAATAATTTCAACCGTCAAAGGATAAAAAGTCAGATAAAACCTTTTCCCTTGACATGGCGAATCATAATTCAAATTTTCATTAGCAGATATATTTAATATCTGATCATGATTTAAATATGATTGATTTTAATAGAACACTTGTGAAACATAAAAAAAAAAGTCAGATAAAGCTTCGATATAATTAATTAAGAATTAAATGTGTTTTTTTAATGATTGATCTAGATCAAAATAGATGCATTTTCTTAAGAAGTTTAGATCCTTTTGAGAACATTACACATGCTAGAAGAGAAATTATTCGACATATAACGTGACTACAAAAAATTAAATGGGTGCTGTCTCCATCTAGTCTCTGTATATCTTTTTGCACAATGTCCTATATTTTTTGTCCACATATGAGATTATTTAAATTCTTTTCTGGTGGGATCCATATACGTCTACTATATTCATATTTATTCATGAGAACAATATAAACGGACTTTCCTCTATTTATCTCTTATTATTCTATATGGTATATGGTATTTTCCACCAATATAGATTCACACATTTCCATGCTCCAATTTTTTTCATATTCATGACTTCGCTTGATAAATAATACACATGTATATATATAGGCAAAATACAATGGTAGGTCATGTACTTTAACTGCGCTTTATTTTTAGTTCTTATAATTTTATTTTGTTGTTTCTAATATTTTTAGTTTGATTTGTCTGCAATATTAGTCCATACAGTTTTAAAAATATATATAAGGACCAGATGAGCTAACATTAATGGAGTTAACTTTGCTGATATATTTAACTTTGTTAACCCCTTTCCTAACTTGTTTGTTAATCCCTTTCCTAACTTGTATTTAATCTTGTCTTTGTCTCTCACATTTTGTTTAAGCCAAATGTATAAAAACGCTTTTTTTCCCCTCCTTTGTGCCTTTATTTTCTAATCATACCTTGTTAATTTATTTCCTTGTCAACATATTTTTATCATGTTAGCAAAGTTACAGTGAAGTTAACTCAATTAGTTTCCATTAGCATAAAATTGTAAAGATTAGCATAAAATTTTGTGAGTAAAATCTACTTATATTTTCAAATATCTGTTTACAGTTTACTCGATGAATTCATCTTTTGTAAAGATTAGATTCATGTAAAAATCACTTGCTAAATTGTTGTAATAATGTGTTTGGTGAACAAAAACAACAAAACAGGATCCAAAACAAGGAAACTGGTGGATGCAATATGGGAACAACCAAGTTCTGGGATACTGGCCTGCTTCTCTGTTCCCAAATCTCTCAGACAGTGCAACAGTGATAGAGTGGGGAGGTGAAGTAGTGAACTCAGAATCCAATGGGCAACACACAACAACACAAATGGGAAGTGGCCATTTCCCTGAAGAAGGTTTTGGGAAGGCAAGTTTCTTCAAGGGCCTTCAAGTTGTCAGTGAGGATAATCAACTTGTGCCTCCTAGTGGCATTGCCACTTACACTGACCAATCTAATTGCTATAATGTTAAGAGTGGTTCTTCTTCTAGTTGGGGCAGCTACTTCTACTATGGTGGACCTGGCAGAAATCCCAATTGCCAATGATCTTTCAACTATTCATATTCATCAAAAGAAAGAAAATCAAAGTGTTATGTATATGGTTATACCGTTGGAATATTATTTTAGATATATCAAGGTGTCAATAGTTAACTTGAATAAATTTCTTTTTTCTTAAATTTTATTGAATTTCTTAATTTTTAAAATATATGTAAACTTTCTTTTTGGTTGAGCTATGGCCAATCCATGTCTCATCCTGCGCCTAAGTTTGGCCTAATTTTGTTGTGTATTGTCTTGCACGTTTTCAAAGGCTAGTTTGACATGTCCCCGCATGATTAGGACAAGGACGGCCAATTGGGACCAAGTATTTTTGCACTATGCCCGTATGTAGTGTTTAGATTGGTGAATTTGAATTTAAGTTTTAGATGTGAAATTTTACATTTTAAATCTCACATTTAAAATTTATGTATTTAAAATCTTGTGTTTGGGTAATTTAAAAAAATTTCAAATGAAGAAGAGAGGTAAATTGATATTCAAAGTGAAAATGAAAAATTAAAATTGACAAGTTTATTTATATTTTTTAATTAATAAGAGATGAAAAAAAATACAAGAATCATAGAGGTATCAATAGTGAAAACATGAAAAAAAACAAAATATTTAAAATGATTGGAATTTTAAATAATTAGAGTGTAGAGGGACTTTGAAATTAAAAAAGAATTATAATTTGAAATGGATTTGGATTTAAATTAAATATAAATTCATAAATTTTTGTGTATTTAAATAAAGGATTTGGTTGAAATCTGAATTCAAATCTAAATTTTTATTAATTCAAACGTGTCATTAATTTTTTTTTTACTGGAAATGCATACCCTTAGTTCTGTGTGTATGTTTTTCAAAAAGATGGAAGCCTCACGTATTACTCGAACTACAAAAGGTTTTTGTGTATACATATTTGATGGGTTAATCAGCAATAAAAGTGTTTTTAACAAAAGAGGTAGGCTGGCCTGCACAAGAATGGGCCGAGTAAATTGGGCTCAGTGGTCAAACAAAGACTAGTCTTTTTTTTTTTTTTCAGTACAAAAAAAGCATGGATGAGTTAAATTTTGGAAACAACATCATCTATTTTATCATTCTTTATTTTGATTATTTTATCATTAATTTCTTACCCACAAGCTTATCTTATAGCCTTTTAAAAACATTCTCTCATGAGCAACACCATCTAATTAAAGCATTTTCTATTTAAATGGTTTTGAATTTTTTAACAAATGAAATATCTAACTAATGTTCTCTCCTTATTTTTTTTCTTTCTGTTAATATATATTATACTGTTTGTTTCATATTATTTTGTTTCTTTTTTTCACGAACTATTCTATTTGAAGAGAGATTGAAAGAACTTATGCTATTAACAATAGTCAGAGAACCTAATTTCATTAAGTCATTGATGCATCAGTAAAATATATGGCATTTATATATGACTAACATTCTCATATCCAATAATCTCTAAATCATTTTTTAATAAAACGAAACATTTTACTTCAAGTACTATTAATTTGAATTTGAATTATACATACATATATTCTTTTTTATATTTAAGATATACTCCTTTCGTTAAAAAAATGTAAGGCATTTTTAATCAAATCTCACCCCCAATAAAGTGGTTACCTACTTTCCAATTAATCCTATCTTTTTACATTTACCCCTATTAAATACCTTATGATAAATATAAAGTCATTATCAATAGGAGTATTTTTGAAAAAAAGACAATGATTACACCTCAAAAAACTAAAAATGTCTTATATTTTTGAACATATAATTCTTTAAAATATACCTTATATTTTTGAACAGAGGGAGTAAATTGTTGTTGTTGTTGTTTTGTTTTCATTTTGTTTGGGTCACAGATCTAGGCATCTAGCTATAAAAGTAAAAGTAAAATATAATGACCATACTTATAAATTTTACAAAAAAATTTAGAGACCTCCATTATATTTTTAAAACCTACATTTTAATATATTTTTTTAATACTAGTGAGAATATTCTGTTAACGATTCTAAAACACTTATTTTTATTAATTGAAATTATGTTACACATTCTAAAAACACTAATTTCCCCTCACAATCTAATTGCTTTGCTCCATCTCACGCATAAATTTGAGTTATGTGACTTTTAATTTCATAAGAGGTTTCCATCAATGCTAGTAATTAGGGCCAAGTCTGATGGGTTAGCCCAAATTCACTCGAAAAATTTAAGTCCAAACTCAAAATTTTTTTGGTTAATGTTTGGGCCTATTCAGACTGCCTGAATAGGCTTGAGAAAATTCGGACCAAGCCAGATGATTCCCACATAAAAAATATTTTTTAAAAATATATGAGATAATAAATAATAATTATTTTTTTAAGTTTTATGTTACTTTTTACAAAAATAACATATATTTGAGTTCATCACTATAGTTATATTTTTCAAAAAAATAAAAATATTTATATTTTCATTTTTTAATTAATAAAATATCTCAAAATAATATTTAAGATATATTTTAATATTAATTTTTATATTTTGAGAGAAAATTTTTTTAAAAAATTTTTGAGTATTGTACATCATTTATGTATCCACAAAAATATATTTATATTTTTTATAAAATAATATAATTAATTTCAAAGTAAAAAAATTAAAAATAATTTTAAAAATAAAATTCAGACATATACAAATTTCTAACTTTACTACTAGATAAACATAATAAATAGAATAATTCTGAATAATTATTTAGTTATTGTCCACGTCAGACTTAGTTAAAAATTAAGGATAAACTAAAGTAAATATCCCTTATATGTAGGGGTTAAATAATATAAAAATTTAAAGAAAAATAATTTAAAAAATAGTATTTTACTTATAATTAAATGATTTTATTTTATATAATATAATGATGGTTATTTTTTCTCATATCCTTAAAAATAAAAAGTACAGTTTACCCAACAGTTATTAAAAATTTTAAACTAATTGGGTCAATGATTTTAATTTAGTGATCTAACCATAATTGAATTGAGATTAACTTGATCATAATTAAAATAATATAATTTAATTAAAATATGTAAAATATTTATATATGACCATGATAAGATCAATATTTAAACAAATAAGACATTAATTTACAAGTACAAGAAACGTTCATAAATAAATTACACATAATGTAACAAAACAATAACAGAGCTACTTAAATGCAAAGTTGATAAGTTATTATTTTGGTTAAAGTATAAATTTAGTCCTTTAACTTTACACAATATTTCTTTTTAGTCCCTTAACTTTATAAAGTGTTTTTTAATTCTTTAACTCTAACAATATTAGTTTTATCCCAACATTATTTTTACATTGAACTGTCAAATATTAATAAAATATTTTTAAATATTGATGTATTAAGTTTAATTTTTTTTCAAAATAGCAGTGACTAGTACAAAAAGTAATTATTTGAAACTAACAAAGTTAGAGTTAAAGGACTAAGAAGATACTTTATAAAAAGTTAGAGAACTAAAAGTATATTTTAACTTATTATTTTTATTTTATTACTTTAACAAAATTATTTAAAAATTAAAATTGATTCAAAAAATAAAAAAATTATTTTTAAAAAGTTTCGAGTATTCGACTCGGCTCGAATAAGCTTGAAGCCCGAAGGTGTTAGTGCCGGGCTTGACTATATAGTCTTTTTAGAAAGGGTATGATACTTTAAGCCTGATCAAAATAAGCTTAGCCTGAATTGAGCTCGACTCGAATAAGCCCGTTCTGCCCGAATCATCGGCTCTAGTTTCTATAGGCTTTGAAAATAAAATAAAAATTTTTGTAATTAAAATAAAATAGAATGAAGTTGAGTACATTTAATTTTTAGTCTAAAAAAATAATACATCTAGATTGTTAAATTTATCTAATGATTAGAAATCAAATTTGAGAACTAATGAGGATTGAATATAGCATAAATGACCAGTTTCTCATAACATGATAAATTAAGATTTGGATTCCCACTAGTAGATGTGACTATATTTAATGCCTGACTATATCTGAAATTAAACATGAAAACTTTTAATAAGAGGATACATGTATGCAATAAAAAAGAAATCAGATTTGAGATAACATTGTTGAATTTTAAATTGAAAGTAACTATAGTTCCACAACTCAATCTATATATATAATATATATAACAGAAGGGGCATATTGCCGATAATTTGTCCTACCAAGAGAGTTGGCCAGTAGTTGCAAGTCATGCAGCAACAAGATAATCAGAATAATAATATATTTTTATTGTGCTTGATCGATCGAGTAAATTAAGAATCAAAATTAAGCATGATGCCTTGGTAGACCAGTAAAAACGAAAAAGGTAACAAAATATCCCAACATATATCTATGAATGAGTCACATTTCGTTTAACACATGTAAATTAGCGGAATTCATAGTCAGATTCCACAACTTCGGTCAGATCAAATATCTGTAATCATTTTTCTAGCACTAGAAAATGGAGAAAAGACTTATTCTCTCCGATCTCTATTATAAAGTACTTTCAACTATTTTATTAGAATTAATAAATGATAATTAACTCATTAAACATGTCTTAAAATAAAAAAAAATTCAACTTAACCCCTATTAAAGAACAGAAGAAGAGAGATACTCCTTTCATTTCTATTTCTACGAGAAACTATCACTTTTCACTTATTTTTTTATATAAGCAAAATCACTAATTTCAATAAGAATTTATTATACATTGTCTAAATCACCCCTCATAATTTATATTAACGAGAAATAATTAATGCATGCTTATGTTGCTTAATATAGGGTATTTTAGTTTAATTTTTTAATTTTCAATATAATTATTATGGTTAACTAATTTTCTTAAATTATGTGATATAATTTTTTTCTCTTATATATAAAAATGGAGGGAGAACATAGTAAACGATGAGACATAAAATTAAATTTATAATAAAAATAAATTTAGAAAATGGTAATAAACAACACTTCATGTAACTTGTATATTATGGACTAAAAAATTCTTTATAAGTGTCTTATAACAAAGAGAAGTGGGAGTATTTAAGTCTAGTGTATCACTCAACTTGAAGTTGTGGACCCAAAAGCACATGCCATTTCCAACATTATTGTCGTATTGATCGTTGGAATTTGGGGAACCGCTAGAAAGCTGCCTTGTTAA